ATGTTGTTTATAAAACATAATATCAATCTGGAAATTCTAATATTCTAATTAACATATATATTTATATTTGTATTTTTTGTATTTTTACAAGTTTCAAATTCTATAATGGCATGAACATTTAGAACGTGTTCGGCAAAACTAACCGGTAGTGGATAGCTTGTCGCTGATAGCGGATAGTTTGTAGTTTGTAGTTGGTAACGTTTTGTTAAACGTTACGTGAAATAGTATTGAGATTTAGAGCGTTTTGTTCAAAATAAACGCTAGAAGCTTATAGTGTCAAATAAGGTCTTCTGTTCAAAACGGAGTGTTTTATAAATTGCATGAAGCTAGAAGCTCTCAAACACTCCAAAACGCTTCATGCCAAATACACCCTTAATAGATTTGTTTTTAAGTCATTAAGTGTTAGTTTTAATGTTAATTGAAAGCAATTTTTTAGATAATCTTATACAGAAGAAGTGAAAATGTTGTTTTTGAAAACCCTAATTAATCTAATTTAAGTTGGGCCAAGGCCCAACTCCAATTCTTAAGTTGGGCCAACTCCAATTCCTTAATCCAAAAGCCCAAAATACTAGGCCCATAACTGGCCCATTTTCCAAATTGGGCCAAACCTTTAATTGGGCCTCACCCTAAGATCCATTCCCATATTTGGCCCAAAACACTTCTATTCAAAAATTCCAGCAAAGGCCCAAACCATACTGGCCCAAAGGTGGCCCAATCAGAAACCCAAATCGCAAAAGCCCATAAGAGGGCATACGCTAAGCGTACCCCTCTGGTACATTGGGCTTACTTCGCCTTGCATTGACCACCATCGGGGTGGTTGGCTCTGTACACGGTTCGTACAACGGCTTACGCGGGGCGTATGCTTGTTAAGTCTAAAATCATGATAATTGCTTAAGCACTTAAGCCCATATTCTAGATCCATTGACTAAATGTACCTCAGAACCATAATGTGTAACGCCCGGGTTTCAGGGCTAAGCATATTTGTCAATGTAATAGTCTAGGTCAACTCTTGTAACACTTTTTGAAGTAATAAAGATGAAATATTTGAGTATTATGTGAATTATGTGTATTTATGTGCTTATTATTTAATTATAAATGTATAATTAATAAAGAATAAAAATAAGCGTCAAAATTAAAGTATGAGATATGCCCGATATCTTTATATAAAGTTGTAGTGGTCGAGAAAAAAAGATTTCGGGGATATAGAGAATGCCAAAATCCGAGTTATAACGAAGAAGTTATGGCTCGCTAAAGTTTTACGGAAAAACCGGCACGACACTGGGAGACGTAAATAGTGAATTTATGATGAAAGGATTTTTAGCCTTAGTGATCTAAATCAAAGTTGTAGTATATGCTAAACCGAGAACATCCATAAAAAGAACGCCCAAATCTGACTTCGTATGAGGAAGTTATGATTTTTCTAAGATTCGGCTTAGCAGTGCACGGCCCGAAACTCGAATTTTAGTTCGAGCGGTTTTTGGCTTACGCAACCTAAATGAGAGTTGAAGATCTCATTAATAGGAAAACAACGGTAAAAAGACAGACAAAAACAGAGTTCGTATGTAGAAGTTATGAATTTTACGCAGACGTTTAACAGTATAATCTCTTTGTACTGTTAAATTTAAGATCGGTCGAGAATTAACCAACGGAGTCAAAATGAAAGTTGTAGATCTTATTATTACCTACGCGTGGATATAAAGAACGTCAAAAACGAAGGTTGTATGTGAAAGTTATGGATTTTAGAAGTTGGAAGTGTGCTGTGCGAAAATGGGTGATGTGGCACAATCTTGGCCATTGCTTTCTCCCCAATGCTTGCCACCAGATGGTGACATGTGGCACCAAGTTCAGCCACATTTCACCCTATAAATACCACCTCTTCCACCCTCATTTTCTTCACACCTTTCTCATTCTTTCTTCTCTTTACTCTCTCTCTCTCTCTCTCTCTAGAACCTCTCTCTAGCCCCGAAATCCCCCGAAAAGCCTAGGGAACCTCCCTAGCACGAGGCGGAAGCCCCGGAGTGCTCGAAGGCTCCGAGAAGAAGATCTTTTCGGCTCGGGAACGCTGCTCCAAGCAAAGCCCGATTTTCTATAAAACCCGCTGTAAGTGAGCTACGTCTACGCTATTTTTAATATAGCTTTTATTTAATTATAGTAACGTTATTAGGAACTTATAATAAATACTTGGGCTACTATTATGGGTTATATAAGTATTTTTTAACGCTTATATAATAATAATAATAGCTAGACTATTAATTAGTCTCGGCGAATAATAGACTAAACTCTAGTGGTAATAATACTAGGTTTCGTCGAAGAAAATTCTTTTTAAGAAGCGAAGCGTTGTCTATGTTCGGAATCACCACCTTTTCAAGTGAGTGCATAGTTACTTTCATCTTACACATAGATATGAAGTATTTTATATATTACGTGCTATGTGTGCATATTATCTGTATACTTGTTATCTATGCTGGATGAATGTTTTTTTTTTATACAAGTTTTAAATGATTTAAACTGTATATGTATTTTATATCTACAAAAATGTTGGGGTAAAACATGGGTAGATGTAATAAGACGATGTGTGATAAAATGATGAGAGGCCTCAATGTTGTTGTTGATCCAGTCATCTAGCGGAGTATAGATGACGACCACGGACTCTTCTAGACAGTCCAGTGGAACGCTGGCAGGCTCGCAACCTGCAGGTGTTGTGAACGATGTGTTCACCGGTGTACTCCATCCCCCACATGGTTGCCTTTAGGACATTTATTGCTGAGGAACCCCCTTAGCAGTAGTGTCCATCCCGATGATGATCCTTAGGATAGGTCCCTTATGATAGGTGTTTAGGGACGTAATGTGAGGATAACGGGAACGGGTAATCGGGTTATTGTTGGTTGATGAAATTAATAAACTTATTTATTGTGGGTTGAAAACCCTATGTGCTCACCAGGCTCCCAAGCCTGACCTACTCAGTTTTATGTATTACAGGTAGTGGCGCATGAGCATAGATGTGATGTTTTGGATGAGGGATTATGGATATAAGCCAGTAGATATGAAATAATGTAGTAAGGCTTATATTGTATTGTTTATACTTATGTACTGTATCGAACATGACATCACAAGTCTTTTAATGAAATACATTTCTAAGGAAATGATTTTGATAAATCTTTATCATATTATTGTTTTGGGATAAATTCCGCAACCCTTTTATTAAAATATAACTCTGATTTTGAAATAAAGTATAAACAAAACCGGTCTTTTCTGACCGTGATTTTGGGGATGTCACATAAAGTCTCAAACTTAAGACTTTGGACATCCAAAAAAACCCTTAATACATAGTCTTAATCCATTAAGACCTTTCTACTACTTGCATGGGACACTTATAACCATTTGGACTTCATTTTTATCATTTAGAACCCTTCCTAGGGTCTAAAAGGATAGCTTAACATGTCTAAATCATAACATGCACAATATTGGGACTTTTGGGGACAAGAATGGTGTCATAAAGCTATCAAGGCAAGATCTACATCATACAAACATAAAGGCGGAAGCTTTTTACCTCCTGGAGCTTCTAGAGGACAAGATAATCTCAGATATTCAAGCTTACCTTACTTCTCCAACACCTTGATGCAATTTCCTCTTCTTCAACTACTCAAAACACACACTTTTAGCTCATATACTCAAGAGAAAGGATAAGGTACGTTTAGGGAAAACATCTCAAAGTTGTGGAGTCTGAAATGATAGAGGGTTATCAGCTCATAAGGACACATATATAGCACCCAAACCATAAATATTAGGGTTTTCTCCTAACGTGAGTACGCCCAACGTACACAAGTGTATGCCCAGTGTACTAAGGCGCGCCTAGTACTCTCAGTGTACCCTTATGTACGTGTAGCGTACTCCTCTTGTTCCAAAATTGTGTATTAGTCATTAGGGCATCTCGTGGCTATATCCTCCAGAACCCAAGGACTAAAAATGACAATGATAATAATGAATGAAAGATTCGAAAATACCTACAAAATCTTGTGATGTTACATGTGAGATGGGAACCCCCCATGGCCTTAATTGGAATGCCATGCCCCCCCCCCCCACACACATGGTTTTATAACGAAGTGTCATGGGCACCCCCATGGTCTTTACTTGGAATGTCATGGGCACCCCCTACATGGTCTGACAACCAAGTGTCATGGTCACCCCCATGGTCTTTAGATGGAATGTCATGGGCACCCTCACATGGTCTGACATCCAAGTGTCACAGGCTTCCCCCAAGGTCTTCCATGAAAGTATCACAAGACAACTAGCATATCACGTACCACATAATCAACTAGCATACCACAAAACACGTAATGGGATGACCTTGGTGCCTTCGACCCATTAGTATGGTGAGGAGACTCACCTCAAATGCGTATTGTAGTTGAGTAGGTCCAAACTTCGAGTATCAACTCTACCACCTCCCTGGTCAAGGTCAAAGTCAAAGTCAAAGCACTACTAGAAAAAAGACCTTTAATGACGCGCTTTTTACGACACGTGATAATTAACGATACACAAAAGGACGTGCCCTTAAAATAGTGTCATCTCTCCAAAAAATTTAAGGATTTACGTCACGCTTTATTGCGTACCCTTAATTTGGTGTCTCAAGAAAAAAAATAAAAACACGGAGGGCGCTTTATCTTAAACGCGCGTCGTCTGTACCTGTCGCTTTATAATTTTAATGAAACGCGCTTTTAGTAGACAAGGGGGGAAATGAAATCCCCAAAATTTTGAAAACCCGCCTTTTTTTTTCTATCTTCTATCTATCTTTCATCTTCAACATAACAAGGACGAGCATTGCACTCTTGATTTCCCTAACTCTTTCTCATTTTCTGATTCAAACTTGAAAGAATCGAAAAAAAAATATCTATCAATTTTGAAGCCTAAAAAAATCTAACAAGGACGAGTATCCATCGATCCGACTTCCAAAAATAGAGGGCATTGATTCCACGTCTTTCGGGGTTGGGAGGAAGGAAAAAATGTTGGTCCCGTGTGATCTAATTGGTAGAGGGCATCGATTCCCTAACTCTTTCTCATTTTCTCCACCATCGCTGCTTTCGCTAATATCCACTCCGACCTCTTATGAACGCAAATGGTAAAGATCTGCTTCGATTTCCCGATTAGTCTTCATCGACGGTGGTGGTGAGTCGGAGGTGCCATGTTGATGTGATTATTACAATCGATTGCAGAAAATGAGAAGATTTAGGGTTTTTTCTTGGTCCAGTGGAATACTTTCAGGTTTCGTCTCGACTCCTTTTATTTTATTTTCTTTCTTTTCCTTTCCTTCTGCCATCTGCTTCCTTTCCCCACCTCTTCTTTCTTATTTGGATTCTCCAGGCGATATGCTACTGTGGCGATTCAGTCGGTGGCGGGTCAGCCTCAATTTCATAACATTTTAAGGGATTGCTGTTGGTGTTCATCGACGGTCGTGGTGGGTCGGAGGTGCCATGGTGATGTGAAGAAATAGAGAAAAAGGAATATAGTCATCACTTGCTGATACCGACGACGATCCGTTTTCTGCATTAGCCAGATTGAATGACTTCAAGGAGGTTCGTATTTCTTTTGTATGTTTTTTTATCCCAATCAATGAATGGATTTTTTCCCCTGTATACGTTGGGCATCTTTCTTTTTTTTATCCCAATCAATGAATGGATTTTTTCCCCTGTATGTTGGTTTTACAAGTGCAAGTATATTAATCTACTAATAATCCCAACTTGACATGAAGTTGATAAGTAACAAGTAAGAATAAATTGTGTTTCAGTGAGTTTGTGTTCGACCCAATTAAATGGCAGCGGAAGCAAATGAACGAGGACTTCCTTGACCTATCAAAGATGTTCAATGCAGTTAAATCGCTTGTTCGAGTGCCTTCTGTAGACCCCAAATATAAAATTGCTCTTCTTGCTTCTAAGCAGGTTCTTCTTCTTCTTTCTAGAAAAAATTGTTAGTGAAAACCAAAAATAGTATTACATTAGTAAGGAGGTTGCTGGTGCAGGACCATTGTCTTGTTGATCTACTGCATGCTTGGCAAGATGGAAAACTTCCGGTTCAGATAAGCTCTGTAATCAGGTAAAGCATGGAACTTTTTTTTTATTTGTTATCTTTGACCAGTAAATGATGTGTATAATATGTCTGTATTTTGAACAGCAATCATGATAGGGTGGGGAATACCCATGTGATGCGGTTCCTTGAAAGACATGAGATTCCATATCATTATCTGTCCAAGTCAAAGGAGAAGAATGTAGAAGATGAGATATTGGGGTTGGTTGAAGATACAGATTTCTTGGTCCTTGCTAGATACATGCAGTAAATGTTTTTCTAGTAGTAGTATAGCAGCAGGATTGGGAAAAAGGTCTTATTTGTTTATTTACCCAGGACAGGTGTTGTCTGGAAACTTTTTGAAAAGATATGGGAAGGATGTGATCAACATACATCATGGCTTATTGCCATCATTCAAGGGAGGAAATCCATCTAGGCAGGCAGGTTCTGTGTTCCAATTTCCAAATTCTATTTTAAGCTTTTTATGTTTTTATGTTTTTTACTGGAGAATGACAGGCTTTTGAAGCTGGGGTCAATTTGATTGGTGCCGCAACCCATTTTGTCACGGAGGAGCTTGATGGGGGCCCAATCATTGAGCAGATGGTAATCAAAGAGTTTTAAGTTTCTCAGTATCAGTAGTATGCAGTATATATATGCTAAGGTGAAAAGTCAAATAGTTTCTGTTTGGGTTTGCAGGTTGAGAGAGTCTCGCACAAGGATAATTTGCTGAGTTTTATTCAGAAATCTGAGAATCTTGAAAAACAATGCCTTATGAAGGCAATCAAGTCATATTGTGAGTTACGCGTTCTACCTTATCAACACAACAGGACTGTTGTATTTTGAGTAAGCTCAAAATGATGCTGATCAAAACTACAGAGTCCATTATATTCCTTGTGTTGCAAAGTTTTTGTATTTCATTTTAATTATTCATTCTAATTTAAGTTGTTCTTGTTCCAATCCAAGATTTTTTGTTATTCCCTTCTTGGAATCGATAAAAAACCATCACTATCTCTAGTGGTGGCCATTACTCTGCTTCTGTGAAAACTGTAAAATGTGCAAAACCAAAAACATGAATTTTCGGAATTTATTTTTTTATCAGGTTGTGAGCTCTGTAAAATGCCTAGAGGATGAATTAGAACCTAACTCTTCTATATATGTCTAATGTCTTAACCTTTACCACAAACAGATGAAGAAGATACCAAATACAATAAGATTAAAGACGCTTTTCTTACAAGACCAAGTTGAAAAGCAAAGGAACTGTTCTTTTTACAGCAAAGCAAATAAATTTTGTAGTTTGATACTTTAAAAAAGTTGAAAGGTTACACGGTTAAGATGGAAACGAAACATAATTTTCACAACACATGGAAAATCAACACAGGTCAGCCTAATGAAAACTTAAGTAGTGGTTTGGTTTGGTATGAAAAAAATGGAATTGCTGATGGAAATCATTGTTAACCTCACTAATCAGCAATTCAAAATCAATATTACTAAATACTAATCTAATGGTATATAAAATTTTCATGTTGCATAAGAATCATGATACACAATAAAAATCATAATACTTAAAACAAACTATTACATTTGAAAAGTCTTGCTGTTACTAGGAGGAGTCTTGAATTGGGGAAAATGGAAAAAGGAAGGAAAGAAGGAGAGGTTACAGATAGACTTAAAGAAAGAAAGACTTAAAGATCAATAACACGAGAGAGATTCTGAATACGATTGAGCAAGAAATCCCCTTGCTTAATAGTCGCTTGATACAGAGCATTCTTTGCATCTGGGCGGTTGGAAGGGTAAAAAAACTGCCAACATTCTTGCAGTAATGGCATCTGCAGCTGCTGCATCAGGTGATGATAGGCGTGTCCATTTCTCTTTCTAATTATACCATCTGTTTTTTCTTGATAATCCGTACTCAGTTTGGTCCATAGTGATTTCTCTTTGATCAGCCCAAATATCCTTGATTGATAACTTTTTCATAAAATTTCTCAAACATGCACAGGATGATGATGATGATGATGATGACGTTTCTCACGAGAAGGATATTTATCTCCAATTTGGTGTAGTATTAAGTGATGTATCTGCTTTTTTTGTTGATGGTGACTATCATTGGAGTCAACGTTCGTTGACAGGAGGATTTGGCGGTTCTTCGCAGTCTAGTATCGTTAGTTTCTTGCCTATTATTGATAAGTGTGGTGTGACTTGTAAGCTTCAACAGGTATATTCATTTCAAGTTTGAAACATGATTATTATAATTATATGTTTGTCAGTTGATAACACTTCATCTCTCCATCTAGATCCAATCAGAGAATCCATCTTTCCCCACAACAAGATTGGTCGTGCGGCTTCCTTTCCTTGGATTTCAGTTTCCCCCTGCGCGTTATCATTGACTGATGCAAGTTGCAAAGATCTTTCAGGGAGAGGATAATGATAACGAAGGTCTTGTCCGCCCTTGGGATCAAGCTGACTCTGAGGGTTGGTTAGATGTTCTTAATTGGAAGCTTGGTTTGATTCCTAGAACCACTCATGCTTTCATCCAATCCAATCAGCATTGTGATTTCTTAAACTTTTGGAATTTTTTGTTTATCGTTATTTTGGTGTAGGGTGTGGGAAATAGGGAAGCTATTTGGCAGAGGAGATATTTCTTAATCAGAAAGGGCCAAATTCAGGAAGATCACCTTATCAACCAAGTCTTTTCAAGATTTTGTGAAATTAGGCATAACCACAGACAAGATCAGAAACCTACTGATTTTGGTGAGTTTTTATTACAATTCAATTAATTTATTCACATAATTTTGATCATTTTTTATTTTAATTTGTTATATCAGAGCTTGAAATGATGAAAGAAAGATTTTCAAATCTTTTTGTGGGGGAGGATATTTTCGATAGTAGGGACAAAATTTACTACATTTATATAAGAAGCTTATGGCTTGATCATATCAGAAAAAGAGGAAGCAGATGAAATTCAAGGTACTTTTCATCAATCATTTTACTGTTTGACTAAGTTTTTTAACCTGAACTCTCATTGTTCATCATTTTAACTTATCTTTTATTTGATTTCATAATGCATCATTGTGTCTTTAATTCTTATCTGGTTGGCTTGGTGTATAGATGCTTCATGAAGGATTATGCATTGGTATGGATAGTATGATCTTTTCCTTCATGTATATATAGATTGTAGAATAACTTTTTTAATGTTTTGCAGCCTGACATTGTTACCGGTGATATTAATTTGTAATTTTTTTAATTAAAATGAATTATTTGTATTTGACATATTAGTGAAATGAATTATCTTTGTTGTTTATGGTATTTTATTTGTATGACATTAAATTTTATGAAATGGATTATATTTTTTGTATATGATATTTTATTTTATATTGTGAGGCATTAAATGCAAATTTAATTTGAAAATTAGTAAATCTATAAAAAATAAATTTTTTTTAACATTTAAAATTATGATACGCAAACATGCGTGTCATCTTCATTTATGACATGGCCTTTCTTGACAGAGGCTTTCTTGATACGCATTGCGTGTCATTAACACGCGCGTCGTAAGGTTATGACACGCGAATGCGTATTGTCTTCCTTTATGACAGGGCCTTCCTTGATACGCATTGCATGTTGCAACTGCGCGTCGTAAATGCGCGTCATAAATGTGCGTCGTCTCTCTTTATGACAAGGCCTTCCTTGACACGCATTTGCGCGTCGTCTGAGCGTTTTACGACGCACAATGAGCGTCGTAAAAGGCCTTTTTTCTAGTAGTGAAGTCAACGCTTCAAGATGACCTAACATGTCGAGTTACCCTTTAACTCGTCGAGTCCACCCCAAAGTTAGAATTGTGATATCGCGACCAACTCATCGAGTTTTCCTATATCTCATCGATTTTCTCCATTTTCCAACAGAATCAGGGTAACCCCAACCCAACTCATTGAGTTCCCTTATGAACTCGTCGAGTTCTTCAGGCTGTCAACTCACTTAATACACTAAGCCCTTTTTCTTGAATCCAAAGGTTCCAAACTTTAGATCTCCCTTCATAGATATGTCTAGAAGGGTAAAGTTTCCAACTTTACCCCAAGGATCATCTAATAAGATTTAGACCCAAACCCTAGCTCCTTTGAGGAGGGTCTTGACCCATTAAGCCTCTAGCCCTTGCTTCAATGTTCCATATTGCAGATCTGATGTCCTAAGGTGAACAAAGCACGTAAAGTTTCAAACTTTACGTCCATTCATGCTTGAAACACACTCCAAGATCCACTTTAGGCTTAAAAATGAACATGTTGCATGAATGGGACATGTAGGCTATTAAAGTTTGCAAGTTTATTCCTCTAGAGGTCTTATAGAGGCCATATCTACACCTTCAACCTCTGGAAACCTCTTTTCTTTCGACATCCAATCCAAAGTCCCAAAACCAAGCCTAAAACTACAAAATATGAGATCTAATAAGCTACATGTCAAGGTTATGAATTTATACCTCTGAGATGTTACCCTTGATGTAGAGTTTCTGGATCCAAGTTCACTTATCCAAGCTTGATACTTCTCTCTTCAAAACCTACTTCAAAGATCTCAAACAATCACTCAAACACTCACAAAATTCAATGAATTAGGAGTAAAGTGATTCTAGGGTTTTCTCTGGGAAAAGGGGCTGGTAAGGAGGCCATCCCTAGGAGTTAAGTCCTTTAAATTGGGTGCAATACCCGAAAAATTAGGGTTTTCCTTTCTAGTGCCAACTCATCGAGTTGGGGCTCCCCAACTAGTTGAGTAGGTCCTCTAATCTACGCGGCTAGAATGCTTTCTACTCGTCGAGGAGCCTCCCAAGTCGTCGAGTTCCTTCCCATATTTAAAAATAATTATAATTAGTTCATACTTGAACCAAGTGTTACACACCTCTTTCACAAGAACCAATGAAAGGTGATTTAGTCATCTTTCCAAGAAAACAAGATTTGCATGTATCATGTGACCTTAAGTGAAATGATTCCAACACTCCATCCTTTTGGAGTTGGGCATTGCGTTTCTTGTTGACATGTACAAGACGACAATGCCAAAAGCATGCTTTGTCTAAACCATCAGACGAATCAATTTCCAAAACACTATTACCTAAATTGTCTATAACCATCATAGTTTAATACACACCATCAAAAGGTAATGCTTCAAAATAACATACATCATTTTTATAAGCATAAATAGAACCATTATCATTATCAAAAGAATATTTGAAAATAAACCATGAAATGTAATGATGTTTGTCGTCATTTTTGACGAATAGCAATAATTGTTCAAATCCAAACATAACCCACTACTAAGCACTAAGTAATGAACACCAATCATGGTAACAAGTGACGATCTCCTATTGCTCATAATCAGGTTCTTCTTCCCATGCTCCACATCCTCACTTCTTTTTATCCCCTGCAAGTCAGAACAAATGTGAAAACACATCCTGTATAAAGGACCCACGAATTAGAATGTGATGATTTTTGGATAGGATAGTTTTAATCCAATACTTCAATTCTTTTAGTGTGGGTTAATCTAATACTTAAATTCTCCATTTCAAAAGTACTCATGAATATTGCAGCAAACCATTGCTATGTCTAAAACCTTAGTCAATCTACAACCCAATTCATGATAGCCTTAATTCATTACTTACTTCCAAAGTATGATCGACTATGGATATGTGAATAATCTAATTATTTGGGAAGTAAAACATGCAAAATGAAACACACATATAACCAATTGACAGAATACAGTAAACGATATTTTTAAATAAATCTCCATTATTTAATCATCAAATGTCAATTACATTTATTTGTTACAAGTTTCTAAATATCAATCTAATCACTAAATCTAATATCATCCTTCAGACCAATGATCATCGCATGTTGAATGTGCTTAACCCTACTTAGACCCTTTGTGAGGGGATCGGTAGGATTCTCTTGAGATGATACCCTTTTTACGACGAGGTGTCCTTCTTCTACTCTATGTTTGATAAAGTGGTATTTTCTGTCGATATGTCTAGATCTGCCATTATCACTTAGTTCCTTTTCCAAGGCAACCACTCCTTCATTATCACAGAAAATCTCTATTGGCTCCTTTATGGTTGGCATGAATCGAAGGTCTCCAATGAATTTCTTCAACCATATAGCCTCTTTTGATGATTCGCTTGTTGCAATGTACTCTGATTCATAGGTAGAATCAGTCGTTGTTTTCTGCTTGGAACTTTTCCAAGTTATCGCTCCTCCATTAAGGGTAAACATCATCTAATTTGACCGAGACATTCCTCGGGACCAAAGAAAAGTCACTAGAACGGAAGTCGGCACCGAATGCAGAAGAAGGAAAATAGTCACTAAACTAGAAGCCGGTGATGAGACAAAATTCTTTCTTCCCGAAAGACAGCCCGTAACCCCCAATCTCAAAAACCATTTCCTCTACTTGGCTTCGGGGGTCCGTGACAACTTCGTGAAAAAAGATGTAATGTAGAAGCACAAGGTCCCCATTTACATTAGGAATGTCTAGCCACCTCCTAAAACATGTATTCCAAAACATGGTCTCGCACTTCGGGTGTCTCTCTAAACGTTGCAAAAATTTGTTCGCCGATTTTGGTTTACAAGACAATGTAAGGGATGCATCAACAACCTTGTCGTGCTGCACAAATAAAAAAGGTGTTATCACTTCATTCCTAAACGAAAACTGACCTAATATTTTGTTCCAGGTCCTTGTGGTCGGACTAATTCCTTGTGTTCTGAAACAATTCATCGCATTCTGGAGGCTTCCAGAATGAAATTTTAAGATCCAGAACAATACATTCGATGTAAGTTAACAATACCCAAACATATAAACTATTTTTAAGTTGGTCCTACAATAATGACATTTATAATTTAAACTTCGGATCGTTTTCAGTTCATTCTGGAGGTGTTCTACGAATTCTCGAATAATAACTGTAGATGAATAAGCATGTTATACAAACAAGCAAACTAGGTTTTTGAAGTGAATAATGGGGATCGTAGTGGTCTTTTTCCACATTGGAGTTGCGTGCCAAAGATCATAGTTGTGTGTTAGAGATCGAAATCAGGATCGGGGTCGTGTGTCAGAATCGAATCGGAAAGTCAGAGCAAGATGTGGAATGAAGTCAAGGGTCCGGATTTTTTCAAATTAAAATCCAGAATTTGAATTTCAAATTCCCAATCCGGAACACGGACTGTTACTCCGGAATGAGAATTCTGGAAGTAAGGTTCTTGTCCACCCGAAAATGAGTCCGAAATATGTTACAGAATACCTTAGATCAAATGATCATTTTAAAAAAATAATAAAAAATGGTTATACTACTCAATTTCACTATGATATAACTATATAACTATGAAATATAACTATTTGATGCATAAAATATTAAAATGACATGTATCGTCAATTGTGAACTCAACTCTTATGTCATGCACC